ATTATAGCAATGTTGCAGTGCAATATTTTTGGAATAATTTGTTGTTGTTGTACATAAACAGAGAATTTACTAATTACATACATATGCATCCGGGCCTTTTTCAATACACAGCAAGCTATTGCGAAGCAACCTAAGGAGATTATGTTGCTTCGCAATAGATGGAGATTGTGAGCAACACCGCACTGATCAAGTACTTAATAATTCGCGCATTATTGGTATCAACGAAAATAACATTATCAAATTCTCGTAATTAGAAAAAATTTTTAAATAGAAAATATAGTATTTTCATTATTTTTGAAACATTGCTGCAATATTGCTATCGAAAGTTTGCAATTTTATATCCCTGCAATGTCTCTACAAGATTGCACTGCAATCTGCAAGATTGCAACGTTTCTGCAATGTAACCATCTGTGCTGTACGGGCATAAGGCGTAAGAGTTGATAACTCAAGAAATTGTGAAATAAATAATCAAATGAAAAAAATACTCAGCATAATAACCTTAACAACATATGACAAGATCAAGGCCATTTGAATTGACCTTAACGAAATTTTTACGAACATATCTTTTTTTAATTTCTTCGTTCCTGTTTGTTTCCGCAAAAAAACCCCTTTACGGTGTGAACATATTATCTAATGGTCTACAATCGCAGCAAGTTTCAGCAAATTCGGAGGTTGGGGCTATTCGGAAGTTGAGCCAAAATTTGTTCTTAATATAGATTCTCAAAATAAACGGATCAATTTCTGTTGAAAGTGTGTTAAGAAGTCACCATTTGTCGAATTTTCGTATTTTAGTGTGATGTTCTTTTCAGTTTGATTTTCTATTCTTGCCGATTTCTCTCTCGCGTCTTTCCACAAAGAGAATTTATTTAGCCCGATAGGAAAATTTCTCAAATAATAATCATTGCATCATCCAAAAGGAAGAAATTTTACAATGATTGCATTGTGGTGATTCGCCGAAACGCAGCGGTTTTGTAGAAAGAAAATTTGTAAATGCTATTTGCCCAAAAATTGATAATCTCAATTTAGAGGATAAATCATGCACAATTATCTCGACATTTAGAAGCAAAATTGCCCAGCAACACAGTTACGTGTAATAAATGTTTATAAAAGATTTAGCGTGGGACGTGTTTACCGCTAGACGTACTTTTATCTCGTCTCGTGTGAATTTTACTTACGAGTAAGAGATAATTTCGTGCATGAAATTCAGATCAAATAGGGAAATACCCCATACAGCACGCATGTCTAAAAAACGTCTTTTAGATCATACGCGTTGTTTAGGATAAAATGGTTCTACACGAATCTCACGGGGAAACAATGCCTCTTGCCGATTGTTGCATCACATTATTATATAACGAGTATTATATAATGAGCACATCTCTCTGATCCGACAAATAACTTAAGATCGAAATCATGCGCTAAAAGCGAAAAATGGAATATATGTTGTGCGTACCATCACGGCATTCATTTTAAAGTCCATCATGTTTTTCACTTCCATGGCCATCTCCCGAACGAGGACGAGACCATCCCTTTTTACGACGCTGGCCTCCACTTCGTAATATTTCTAAAGCGTAAAGCAGTAAAAATCAGTGCGTGAGCGGTGCGTGAGCAAAGATCGCAAAATCTTTATGTTTAAAAGATAACTTGAAGAAAAGGCTTGAAAGTCACATTTTTCTCTCACGATATGAATCTTTGCACAACATTTACGATATCTCTATTAGTGGTTTACTAAAAAATATATATATATACTGTTTGGCCTTCTTTATATTTAAATGTATTTATTACGGTTATAGCTAAACACATATTGTATTTCCTTACCCTTTGTACCTCGCTCATTTTGGTAACTTGTTTACCAAACTCCCATAGATCCACGCCGAACTTTAAGGCCCAGTTTTTCACTCTGTAATAATTGATAATATTATTTCAGATAAATGCGTTCGGCATCAGTTAAAACATTTGCAGTAAAAACAAGTGAAACATCGTGTAAAGAAAATCAAATTTTCTTCACCGTGTTAATTTACCATACTTAATAAATAATCGTTTTACATTCATGGAAATAATTAATCGCATGTGCATCTGTTTTTACATTTCCATTTATTAAAAGTATAACGAGTGAAAGAATTCTCGCATAGAACAGCCTTGTAAAATTTATTTTTGAAATAGGTTGTATTGAAAGAGAGAGAGAAATGGAGCTTCTAGCGTTGTAACATCAGTAAACATAATTTATTTACTACATATTTATTATTAAAATAATTTGTCGCTAATTTAAAAAAAACCCTCGTATATTCAAGAGCGGATAGACTTTCGTACAATTCTTGCAAAAATCTCGTATCTTTTGTCACCTTCCCTCACATTTCCGTTTGTTCCCAAATAGCCCATAACCGATTAGCGTCACGCGCTTCCTCATTTCCGTCCGTTCTTCCGCTTTCATTTCTTTTCACATAATCGCCTCTCTCTCTCTCTCTCTCTCTCTCTCTCTCTCTCCCCCCCCTCTCTTCCTCTCCCTCTCCCTCTGTTCGTTTCTCCCTTTCTCCCCCTCCCTTTTTCCGTTCGAAGCCTGATATTGCGTCTTTCTCCCCTTTACATCCCTTATTCGTACTCCTCATTTTTTCCATCGCCATTCCGCTTTCATCCTTAACCCCGTATATTCGCCCTTCTTCCCGTATCGCTCACACCCTTGACGACGTCTCCCCTCTCTCTCTCTTTTTCTCTCACCCCCCCTCCCGCTCCCGCGCGTTCCTTTATTTCCCTACCCCACTCTATCGCACGCTCGTTCTCGCCCTCGTCCACCCCCTCGCTCTCGGCCTCGCGCTCCTTCTCTGCGCCCTATCGAGTTTTGCTCGTCGAGCTTTATGCACCTCATCCGTCCGATCGCTCGCACATCCACTGCACCGCCACCCTTACCCACCGACTCCCACCAACCCCCCCCCCCCCGCCCCTCTCCCGTCCGCCCGGCCGATTCGTTTCGGGCTCCTCATGCGTTTTAGCCAGGAGCCCGACGAGGGCCCGCGGCGTTTTTTTCATGCTCGCGCTGGCTCACTAATCGGGGCCCGACGGTGTGACTTACTCATTGTGAGGTATGTCCTCCTCCTGTTGACGACTCGAGCCTATCCACAACAGAAACAGTAGCCCGAAGCGCAGCAGCTGCAGCCGGTGGTCGACGCGCAGGAACATTATTATCCGCACGATTCCGGACGATTACTTCTGAAAATGCTCTCGCCTCCCTCCACCCTCGCCCGCTTCCTCGCCGCGTCTCCTCGGCCGCCGCGTGCGGTCCTCGCGCGAGGGCGAGAGTCTCTCCCCGTGATTTCGCCCCGCCGATTCGCGAGATCGATCGCCGCAGGCCGGGGACCAGGGAGGAACCGGTTCGGCGCCCGACGTCGTCGATTCAACGATCCTCGCGCATCGTCCATAGGTCATCACCGTCCACGGATCTCCACCTCTCGCGCCTCTCGCAAACCGATCTCGTGCACATCTATCTGCCGCCCCGTGCGCCACTATATTACCGCCAACTCTCGCCAACCCTCCGTCGGCCCGCGCGCGCGCTATCCGCTTCTCGTTTTCTCTCTCTCTCT